TGTTCTCGGCGACAAAGTAACGGAACACGACGCCGTGGTCGTGGTGAATCACATGTCGAACACTAAAGCTGCGCTTATGGCGCTCGAGTACTTTTTGAGAAAGGTAGAATCTCCTAGGAAGGTTGTTCTGTACAATGTGACCATGAAAGTCTGCAGAAAGAGTAAGGATTTGGAAGGTGCCGTGAAACTGTTCGACGAAATGCTCGAGAGAGGAATTAAGCCGGATAACACCACCTTCTCGACTCTAATCGGCTGCGCCAGGCTGTGTTCCTTGCCCGAAAAGGCGATCGAGTGGTACGAAAAGATGCCCGCATTCGGGCTCGAGCCCGATGGGGTCACTTGCTCGGTCATGATCGACTCGTATGGAAGAGTGGGCAAAGAGGACGTTGCTTTTGCTCTGTATGACCAAGCCAGGAACAAAAAATGGCGTCTTGATGCTGTGACTTTCTCAACTTTGATAAAAATTTATACTTCGAGGGGGAATTTTGACGGGTGCTTGAATTTGTACGAAGAGATGAAGACCTTAGGGGTAAAGCCCAATGCAAGCGTGTACAACTCATTATTAGAAGCAATGGGCCGGGCCAAAAGGCCTTGGCAGGCGAAGAATATCTACCGGGACATGATAAAAAATAAAGTTAATCCGACCTGGGCCACATACGCTGCTCTACTACGGGCCTACAGTCGGGGCCGATATTGCCACGACATATTAGCTGTTTATAAGGAGATGAAGGAGAAAAATTTTGAGCTAAATGTTGTGTTATACAATACTATATTATCCGCTTGTGCTGACGTGGGGTTTACTGATGAGGCTTTTGCTATTTTTGAGGATATGAAGAATTCGGGCACTTGCAATCCTGATTCTTGGACTTACTCTTCATTGATCACGATATATTCTTGCAGCGGGCAGGTAGAGGAGGCTGAGGCCACACTGAGTGAAATGATGGCATCGGGTTTTGAGCCGAACATTATCGTACTAACCTCGATTATCCAATGTTATGGGAAAGCTGGGCGTACTGGTGATGTAGTGAAGACATTCGATATGCTGTCCGATTTTGGCATAACTCCCGACGAGCAGTTTCTTTGCTGCCTTCTTAGTGTTTTAACAGAAGTGCCGAAGGAAGAACTTGGTCAGTTGACCGTTTGCATTGAGAAGGCCAATCCGAAGCTCGGCCATTTTGTGAATCTTGTAATTAATGGAGAAAGCTTAATTGGAGAGGAAGCCAGTGAGCTTTTTGACTCAGTTAGTGCCGGAATGAGAAAAGCTTACCTGAATTGCTTGATCGACCTGAGTGTTCATGTGGGTCAGCTCGAGAGACCTACTCAGATGTTGAAATTCGGGCTCGAGCAAGGAATATATGATGTTATAACGATTAGATCGGATAAAATGTGGTATTTGCGACTAAGGAGACTGTCTCAAGGGGCGGCCTTGACGGGACTGCGTATGTGGATGAATGACTTGTTGAGAGCGGTTGATAATGGGGAGGAGTTGCCGAATTTGTTAGGGATCGATACGGGCCATGGGAAGCACAAGTTTTCGGATCGGGCTCTGATGGGCCTGTTCGAGGCCCATCTGAAGGAACTCGATGCCCCGTTTCACGAGGTGCCGGATAAGCCCGGCTGGTTTCAGACGACTAATGTTGCGGCTAAGGCTTGGCTCGAGTCCAGGCGTGACTTGGATGATGATCCAAATGGTGCCTAGGCAAGGCAAGACTTTTGAATGGATTTGTTTTTGATAGGAGATAATAGCTAATTAGCTATATCAATATGTAACCAAGTGAACATTGTTTTGACACATGAATTTACTTTCCCATTAGTTTCCTTTTTTTTGCACCCATAACTGTGCTATTGAGCCTGGGAATTTTTTCCACGGTAATTACAAATTTCAAAAGCATAATTTTCTGTTTCTGGCCACTTTTCCTTTCAACCTCTCTAGTTTTAGTTGCGATCATGGCTATCGGCCACATATCGCGTATATCTGTCGAGTGATCGGGTGAAAGGGAAGGCGAAGCATTATTCGATTATGCCGCGCGGCACCCAGAGTTAAGTTCCAACGGAAAATACATATTCTAATAAAAAATTTTACGGTAAGAAACCGTTAAAAAAATATCCGAATCATCAAATTTTATCTAAAATTTCAACAGAAAACTCATTTCAACAGAAGTATATAAGCTATACCATTGATGATCAAATTTCATCTAAAATTCCAACGGAAAACTCATTCCAAATGAATATTTTCGTTCGAAAACTTCGGTTGAAATGATTTCAATAGAAGCTATACCTTTGAAATATCTGTTGGAGGGCCGTATCTTTAGTGAACCGACGGTTCTGGGATGGTTCAAATAACCGCTGGTTACGGGCTGAGCTCGACTCAATTAAAAAAAATTATTAAATGGCCGAACCGCCGGTTCTAATTCCGAACCGACCCGACGGTTCAAAAACTACAAATATATTGCTCGATCAGACCGCAGGCTCGATTCAAGACTAGTTGACCACGGGCCAATTCTGGGCTGGCTCGGGCTGAACGGACGAGTCGGCCCGGCCGGTGGCCATGTCTAGAATTACTTATAATCCAAAAATTACACATTGCGAATAGTGTCTAGAGTTTTTCATCACTAATAAAGTATGAGCAATGCTATATGTACACCCCCTTTTAATAAATTACACAAAGAAAAGTGCTATATGTACACCCCTTTTTTACACTTGAGGGGGTGTACATATAGACACCCCCTAAAGTATACACCATTATTGATTGGAGCAATTATGGGGAAATAGTTATTCAAGACTACAGATTTAAGACAAGTGGTTCAGTGCAACCAGTAAGAGTGATTCACGCTATAACCTAATTTTTTTTTTTTTTTTTTACATCGATTTTGGGCAAATTGCAATTGAACACTTGTCTTGAACCAGTAACCATCGAACCGTACAAAATTAGGTGAGAATGTTGAAATTATTTCATTCGAATTTTAAATGGAATCTACATCTTTTTATTGTATGAATATTAGTTGAATTATACAATTTTCGTTTGAATTTTTATTTTCATAATGGAAAATTCAGTCTAACGGAATATTTTTGTTGGGATTTTTGTTGGAATCCATTAAAAAATTCCAATTGAAATAATAGCATTGAAATATCAATTAAATTTGTCGTTGTAATAATTCTATTGAAATATATTTCGTTGAAATTTCATCATTTTCTTATAGTGCGCGAGATTTCAGACTAAAATTTTTCACAAGTTCATGAAAGATTCTCAACTAGGAATATTGTTATAAAAAATGGCCAATTTTAAAAATTTCGGGCAAAAACAAATGTTGTTAAATTGGTTAATATTGATGCTTATGGATTATTTTTGTCCATTGCAAAGGGACCTGAAAGAGTCATTGTTGACAATTCTCCTGGCATAGTGCTAATAATGGACTAGATCAAAATGACTCAATTAAAATTCTAGTACTTCTTCTATTAGTGAAGTTTTTAGAAAATAAAAATATATCAAATGACGCAATGCACCTTAGGTCGCTACAGAAACAACTTCCTTGTATAATTACAAGAGTAAGGTCTGCGTACAACTGACCCCCATACCCCAACTAACTGGGAATATACTGGGTATGTTGTTGTTGTTGTTGTTGTTGTTGTTGTGTTTGTTGTAATGCTTATGGATTATTATTGATTGATTAAATTCTAATATTTCACTAAAAAAAAATAAAAATAAAATAAAATAACAATGCTAATTTGTCTAATGGCCCATATCATTTTTGGTTGGGGAGAGGTGTTCACTGGTATGAGGTCTCACCATGGATTCATATCTAAATTTGTCCCTACAAATTTGCATTATTATCAGAGAGAAAATGCATTTGGTATCATTAATTCTATGCTTAAAATTAATGGGACATATGGCAATTTTGGGTCAATTGCATGAAACGTACAAATTGATGTATCAATAAACTATCTTATTACCATATATATAAAATTAGTCGGGCATAATTTATTTTTAATCTACTATAATGGTCTCTTTCAAAAAAGATTATACGATATTTAGTATATTAATTTAAAAAACTATCATATAAGTTACATTAATCATTAGTAACAGGATAAATGTCAGATTATTTAAATTTATCACAGGTTCAACGCGAGCTGATCACGGGCCGATCACTGGTTGAAAATATAGTTTGTACATATCACATTTGACGGGCAATTGCCTAAGCAAAAGGGCTATAATTGGTTTGAAATTTCGAGTATCTGACCGTCTCGACAAGAAGAATTCAAAGGTGGATCACATACGTGAAGTTGACGTGAGAAACACCACATTAGGTCAAAAGTAGAATAACTCAAATTATTTTATATGAAAAAATTGAGTAGGGAAATTAATGAATCTATTTGAGCTAAAAATTTACGGTTACGATCTAGACATGATTAGACCGTCTCACACAAAAAATTATATTAGGTTATATATTTAAATGAATTATGAAAATAAATGTCAAACGGGGGCAATACGAGTGCGGTCCCACACAAGTGAAGCGCACCAAAGAGGGTTAGCCCAAATGAAGCCCAAGTGAGGTTCCATCCCAAAACCAATTGGTAGTAGGAGGAGTAGCCCACTAGGCTTATAAGTTAGGCCTATTTACCCTATCAAATCAATGTGGGACAACTCACAAGTGACATTCCAACAATAAACGGATAAAAAAAATAAAAAATCTAGACATGATTTTGAAACTTAATAGGTACAGTTTAAACCAAGAGCACAGAATACAAAATTACCACATGAGGCCCTCATAGTTGCAATATTTCTAGTTTTACTATTCTTTTTCCTTTTATCATCTTAACGAAAAATGATTCTCAACTATTTTTATCATAACTTAGTAGTCAACATGTGATCACATGTCTATGCATTCTTTTCTCAATCTCTCAAAGTCCCTGAATATTTAAATGCCATTTATTTTTTCCTAATATATATCGTTTGAACAAATTAATAGTTATGACATGCACGCATGCAACAAGATCAAGAAAAGAAGAAAATGCAAATATATTTGATGATTGATTCGCAATACATTCTCAGAAAGCATGAAGAAAAAAAGAAGAAGAAGAAGAAGTAATCGAAAAGCTCGAATTTTTTTAGTCCATTACAAAGCTTCTATCATGGTATTCCGGGCCTCAATCCGAAGCTCCTCCTTCATTTTCCGAATGAACTCTTCGAACTTCATGTTCAACTCTTCAGTGCTAACGTGCACATCGCTTATTACAACATCCATTTCGTTCGATGATGTGTCTAATTCGTCTTCCTCTTCCCAGTATTCTTCACTCTCCCGACCCAAACAGGCCCTTACTTCCGTTTCGTGTAGTTCGAGAGATGTTGGTTGATTCGCTTCAAGATCTTCAACAATCTTCACGTCATTATTGTTGTCGTTTTCCATAAGTGTCCCTGCATTTTCTCGATTATCTTCTCCTTCTTTTGACAACATTTTGGGTGGTTCTTCTATTAATATCCATACCGGCCTTGCCTCCAACATTCCAATGCTCGTAGGACTATAATCGACTTGCTCCACATCTTCTAGGGGCATTTCCGTAATTTGAACGACATCCGAGGAGGATGAGTCGAGTCTCAAGTTCTTGGCGAGGATCACGAGAATCCCGTTGCAAACGAGGAACATGTAGTTTCGGTCGAGGAGCGGGAGATTGATCAAAGTGGAAAAGCAATCATAGTTGAGTTTAATATTATTAGTCAAGAAGGATAAGGGATTGTGAAGAATGAAACTTGGAAAATAGGATAGAAGGAGATAGAATATGGAGAGTTGGATTATAAACCTAAATGTTAGTCTCCTAATAATATTGTAAGTGTGAGGAGCTTCATAGGGTGTTTTAATTATCCAATCCATGTTTTTTTTTTTCTTAATTAATTTTAATCAAAGAGGAATATTCAAAGGGGGAATTTTGGTGAGAAGGGAAAAATGTAGATTTTTGATGTTTTAATTTAGTGGCTATTGATTGATGGTTTTTGGGTCTTTATATAGCACACGAGTGGGCTATTGTTTGGTACTTCAAGCATGATTGCACTTGATTGATTGTAGCGTTGCAGGGATTGGCAGAGTGTCGCTATTTGTATTCATGTGCAATTTAGCCGCTAAATCCCGCTAAATCTCGCTATAGCTACAGTGCCATAAACGTTTTAGACCGCTATTTAAAACCTTGGTACAAACTAAACACTCATCATTTATTCTTCATTTAAATTTTCGTTTAATGAATGAAACATATTAGATATTTTTATTGGTTGGCATGTATGCGAGACTTCGTTTTATTTTTGCATTGAATAACTTTTGAATTTTTTTAGTTAGGTTTGTCCATGTCATTTAGGACTTAAGTCTATTTACATGTCAGATATGTAACGTTAGACCCAATATATTGTGGGTACTCTTATTAAAAACTATTTGATATAAAAAAAATAAAAAATAATTGGTAGTATTAGCTCATAAATCTGGTGAAACAAAAATCTCGGTAGCTTTTAAGGCTACTTAAAGAAACATTTCAAGAAAACATGATTTTGTTTTAGAAAGTTGTCCTACTAAAACCAAACTGTTATGAACACAAAAAAATAAATAAATATATATATGTATATAAACCAAATAGGTAAATTATAAACTGATTTATAATGCTTACTATTAGGGCTGCAAACGAGCCGACCCGAGTATTGATCTTATCGAGCAGGATTAAGTTTTTTGTTTTTAGCGGCTCTAGCTCGAGCTCGTTTTTGAGGCTCAAGTTCGACTCGATAAAAAATTACAATAGCTCGAGCTTGACTCGAAATTAAAATGTTCGAGCTTAGCTCGAGTTCGGCTCGAAAATTTTTAAGTGAAAAGTAAAATTACGATTAAGCATCTATGCTAATATATAATAAAGGGTATTTTTAGTAATTTAACGTGTATCTCGAGCCGGTCAACGAGCTACTCGATAAGGTATGAGCTCGAACTCGACTCGAGTTTGGTCAAACTTGAGCTCGAGTCAAGCTTTGACTCAATCGCTCGCGAGCCCTACTTGAGCTCGAACTCGACTCGAGTTTGGTCAAACTTGAGCTCGAGTTGAGCTTTGACTCGATCGCTCGCGAGCTGCTCGATTTGTTTGCAGCCCTACTTACCATACACACACGAACTAATTTTGAGATGAAAGGGAACTATAGAGTTAGTTACCCAAGACCATCATGCTAGGTCACCAATAGTTTGAAGGCCATAAAATTTGGACCTAAACGAGAAGTAAAAATATACCATAATGTGATGGACATAAAACCATCTTATGTCTCAAAGTAGGCTTAAATTAGTATATTAAATTTGAATTTTTGAGTATTTGCAGTACATATTTTATGTGTTTAGTACTATTTACACAGCAAAATTTACCATTTTTTGAAATATTGATAGAGATAGTTAACAGTAAGGGGAAAGGCTAAGGTCCCGTTACTGAACCATTTCGTCAGGTTAACCATTAGATCATCATGTAACCGTCAGAGATAGTTGATCTAACGGTTACACACTCCGACAGAATGGTTTCATAGCGAGACTGTAACATCTTCCAACAGTAAGAGATAAGATAATAATAACTATTGATTCTTGGAGGAAATTGAACAACTGAAGGGAATATTTTCTGAAAAAATTGACCTGCTAAAAAAAAGTTTCTTGATAAGAAAATTTGATCCACACAAACCTCGATTAAATTTCAGTCATGAACTATGATGGGTTAATGTGATTCATAACTACAGGGCACATCAAACCCCAAATCATTAAAATTGTTCGACTGGCTCCCGATTATAAAACACAATATCCAGACTTATAAAAGCTTTCTGTTTTTTCTACAGTATTATGCTACCTCGAACAAGATACAATGCCGAATTTAGACAAATCTGAATATGAATGTATGTTACTGAGAAATAATAATCCCCTTCCTCATTAGCATATCATAAATTCTGTCGATTTTGTTAGGCTCGACCTGAAAGAAGGAATAAGCATCGGATTTCTTTGTGATGTTGCCGGTCAGAAAATTTGTAGTCATATCCTCCTGAATTTTCAGATACTGTTGAGGGGCTAACTTGATCTCACGGCAAAGTTGTTTCTCCTGTTGGAAAAAAAAGAATAAAACTCATGAAATAAATCGAAAACAATGTTTGTGGTTAATAATTTTTTAGCCCCGAGTAAAACTATCAAGAAATATTCGAGCTTATATTTCTATACGACTTTTAAGTATTCAAGTCTCCCCTCGGTATTCATCCACTCACATAATTTTAAATATAATTAAATATATCAACCAATCATTCTTACACGTCACATCAACTTTAATTCGCTATTCATATCCACTCACATAATTTTAACTAACCGTCACTTCACATCATATCTCCTACTTTTACATCAAAAAATTAATTTTTTAGATATTATTATAATATAAACTCAAAAAATCTCACTAACAACTAATCATACCAATTTTTTTTTCCAAATTAACTCTGATTAACCAAAAAAAAATCTGTTTTGAGCAGATATATTTTTATATTCAAGCACATCCATAGTAATCCATGTCACTAATAGCAAGTGGAAAGGCAGCAGAAAAACAGTTCCAACACACTTACCGATTCAGACAGCAAATTGACCCCAGAAATCGACATGAAATCAGATTCGGTTGATGAGTTGGCTTGGCCTGCTGATGTCATGGTCGAATACGTGCCGAATGAATCCGAAGAAAGTGGCACGCTAAGACTTTCTTGGCTGCTGGGCCCCGCCTGAGAACTTTCCTTGCGATCAGTTTCCCGCCTTTTCCTCTCATGATATCTATCGGCTTCAGCTGATGTACGGCAACCAGCAGCTCGCGCTTCCTGTATAAATTAATAAATAAATATATATAAACAAGCACAGAAGGACTTATGAAAACTAGTGAACAACAGTTTTAGTGCTTCATCATAGTTTTTTTTTTTTTTCGCAGAATATAATTTCTTGGAGTAAAACAACGTAAGTCGAATTTTGCCTTGAGCTCTCTAATTCGCTTGAGTGTCCTATGTTCAGATACAACCGTTTTAAGTAGTTCTTCATGCTCCTCCTTTGAGTGGAAACGCATAAAAACATCATAACGTCTGCATAATTCCTTCTCCTCCTGAGATAAGCCCTCATACTGATTTGGGTACTGCAACAAATTCCTTTCCAGAATAAAATCCTTCCTCCGTTTTCTCTCATCCAACCTGTCAATACAAAATAATGAACTTTAAGAGTACAAGCATACATACAATAGATAATTCACATTTCATCAAACAAAAAAAATATAAAGGCTTTATGCTTGCTTAGTAATTACAGAATATCTCAATTATCTTCTGAAAAATCACAAATATTTTTTTTTTTTTATATATATATTTATCTCCGGTAGTTTTTCAAAGTAGCGAATAATTTAAATATGAGAGATACATTAAAGGAGTGTAATTCGTTCGGGATTTCTAAAGACTTTTAGACTTCAGAAATTCTGAAGTATTTAACTTATTTGAGACTACTAGAATTTGTTAAGACTTTAAGGATTGTTGACCATATACAAATCCCACTCCAAATCCCACCTCCAAACTTAAATATTTCACTTCTGAAAATCTTAAAAAGTCTCAAATCTCAAAACAACTCAAAATGTCACTCAAAATTCCAAAAGAATACAACCCCTAAATGGATTTCTCCTCCTCCATCCATATTTTCTTTGAAAAAGTTCAATTATAAAAGAAAAGGGCTGAGATAATATGTACAAAATTTACCTCTTCGAATATATACGAAGCACCCTCAGTTTGAGCTGACGCTCGACTTCCGGCTCACCTTCCTTGAATTCCATGTCGGCAAGCAATTGCTCGGCATCGTTATCATACTCAGGATCAAATTCTTCTCTCTTAGCATTATAACCGCTTGCGTCTGTTGAAGACGGGGCATCGACTTTTGTCGCTTTCGGTTTGTTGCCGCCAAAGCTTCGCCCAGATAAGTGGTCTGAAAATAATTTTTTCAAGATTAAAAAGGAGACATAAGTTAAATTAAAAAAGCATTTATTAGTTTCAAAATTTGGAATTTGCGGGAAAAAGGGTAAGCAGGGAACACAAACCCTCCATCTTTAAAGGATCACTATTATCTTTGCCGTGGCCCGTGCTTGATCCCTTTTTATTCACTTTAGCTCCTGCAAGATTTGATTTTTCCATGACTAATTTGTAAGTTTTTGAATAGGTAAAAGTGCTATCAAATTACAGCAGGTCGGTCTATGAATTTTTACAGCGATAAAAATTCTTATTTACCTGTACTGGAAGGCAAGCGACTAGGTCCAGTTTTATACGAATCTTCAACCCTTGTGTGTGTGTGTGTGAGAGAGAGAGAGAGAAGAGAAGCAAAGGTTTAGAAATATATATCTATAATTAGGGACAATATTTATAAAGAAATTAAAGATAATAAAAAAAGAAAGAGTTTTTTTTTTTTTTTTTTTTAGATAAAACCAATTTTTTCTTTTAAAATCATAAATAATTAAATATAACCTTGAGATTGGTAACTATGACTTAACAAACAAACCCCCAATTCTCAAAGATGCGCTTTTTAACACCAAATAAATAAAAAAAAATGTCAAGAGGGTATATGTAATTTTAAAAAGTTTTTGTTTATCTTCTTTTTTTTTTTTTTAATAAATGGGCTAAACTTCATGGATATCTTGTGTAATTAATTCAAGAAGTTATTAATCTATTACTATACTTGACTCTTGAAGGTGAAAATGGAGATTCCACTTTCATCTGATGATCCCCTGAAAAAAGAAAACATGTACAATCAAGATACTCGCGCAGTATTATTAAAAAGCATTTCATATGCCGAAAAGCATATAGAAACCTCATAATAGTTTAAAGAAGCTACCATATAAAAATGCAGAGGTACATAATTTAATGACAACAAACCTATTTTATCTTCGAGATGACCTTTAGCCATTGCAAGGAGTTCGTTTCTGTTTTTGCCAACAACGTGCGTCATATCCTGAGAGAAGAAATGCAATTCATGATTTTTTTATTTTTTTTTTGAAACAGAATAAGGTCATAAAAAAAAGTTCTAAGTATTTCTGTTAGAGTTCATACAGGTAAAGGAAAGTAAGGTGAGTTAAGGTAAGCATTCCTATAATGTTCAATGCATGCATCCTTTGTCTTGGTCCCGACATGCTCGGCAACTTCGGCCCAATTTCCCATGCCATACATTTCAATTCCCTGCTCATGTGGTAAACAAATTTACAATTTACTGACCAGTGATGAGATTAACATATGAAAGGGGGATTGTTACCAAAACTTCAGAGGAGGTTGGACCTAATTAATGACAAAAAAAAAATAAAAAAATACCAGATTTTCATTTTAAAATTCCCCTAACAGTCTGTTAAAAATATTATAATAGCCCTTTAATTTAAGGCTGAATCAAAATTCAAAAATCAAGTGTACATTTATTTATATTCTTTTGGAAGTTAACAAGGTTTCTGTTTTGGAATTACATCAAACCTCAACGGAACTTTTTTTTTTAAAAAAAAATCTATAAAATATAAATATGGATTACCTCGAGAAGTAACATTTCTTCATCAGCATTCCATTCAGGACAAATGAGAGGAAATGAGAGAATGTCCTGAATACATCATAAACATGATTCCGACCACCAGCATTCAGAGCAAATTAAAACCCTTTACTATTTTAAGGAAAAAAAAAAACAATTTTTTGCCAGAAAAGAATCAGGAGGATGCAAGAAAAATGCAACAGATTTGACCAATACTCTTTGACACTAAATCATTACAATTTTTACAACAGAAATCCCAAACAGCTGGCCAGTTAAACTCCTATATGCCCACTTTAAGAAAAAAAAAAAAAAAAAAA